GCACATTCCAGTGTTACAGAAAATGCACAGGAATCTCAAAACCTGGAAATAAACAGCATGGGCAGCCATATCAGGAGAGCTGAGCAGCATCACTGCCAAGCTCAGTGCTGGAGGCTTTATCTCATCACACAGAAACAGCATCAGTTTGACGCCAGCCTAAGCAAATCCAGGGCCTCATCCTCCCTCTCAGAACTGGATCAGAGCCTAAAAATGTGAAAGTGACTCTTGAAATGAACAGCCACCCAAGAAGTCACTCTTGTGTGAATCAACAAACTTCACATGCTGTGATTGAAAGTACTCTTATGAAATGAAATCTCAATCTAAAAGTATGGCCCAATTATTGGATTTTCAGAGTCTATGAATGGGACATTTATATAGTATTCCCTTCCACATATCATTAAGGATGGGATGGAAGGAGATGATTGTTCAAAACACTTTGCTCCCTATCTAATTTCATTTCATTATAATGTTTTGCTTCATATTATAGTGGGTTTTTTTCCCCTTACTTGCTAGTAGAAAGGTAGGGAGCATTTTTAAGACCAGAATCGCATTTCTAATTTTGGCTTTCTTTCTGGGAACTCTAAAATCAATACATACTTATTGACAGGATAAACTTTAAACAAAGAAACCTTAAACTTAAGAAAGCTCTCCAGGAAAAATTGCAGTGCTGGATCATAAAACGAATGTCATAGGTCCTATTATAACATTAAGATAGGACACAATTTTAAAAATAAAAATATTAAGAAAATATTTTATTAATAAATCATATCCATGCATTTGGTTTTGGGGTTTTTTTTGTGGCTTTTTGTTGTATTTTTTTCTTTTTCTTTAAAAGGAACAATTGTTTTAGAAAAAAAAAAACAAATTACAGAGGCTTATTTGAAGCATATACTATTCTCTACAGGAACTTTATGATGGAAAAACATTTTTCCAAATAGTTCTCTGGATACTCAATACTTTACCAGCTGGCAGAACATCTCCATCTGTTGAATAGAAGCCTATGTTTCTAGAAATGCAGATACTTTTCACAGCCAATACTAAAGTTTCAAGGAAGTTATAACTATTAGAGTATCACTGATATTATCCTGAAAAACCATACTAAACCAAAGACATATACATATATCATTATACACCTATATATACCTAATATATGTATTAATTTAATGAGTGCATAATTTTAATCATAATTTTAGATGCCCAAACAGTCCTTTGAGTGAGAAAGCAGTCTCCAGGAGAGGCATCCTCAGTTCTGATCCCATCTCGAAGGAAGGCTAATCACAAGCAAAAAGCCATGCTCCTTTTTTGACTTTCTGCCAAGGGAGCTCTGTGCCTCTGTAGTAGGCAAGGCACTTTCTGCTGAGGACATGAGGAATCTGGTAGGTACTGTTCTCACAACCACACAGGTACAGAAAGATTAAAGAAAACTGGCATTTAAAGCCTTGGAGCCCCAAACTGACACAAAACTGCAAACTCCTCGGTATAGCAATGAGAGCTGCTGCTGAATTCCTGACCTATGTAGGCTGCAGAAATACCTCAAATATGTAACACAGGCCACTGGATGACATGCCACATTTGAACCTGGAAGGTTCTGATCCTGTTCTGCTGGCATGTTACTGTGCCATTTCTGGAGAGTCATGCTTCAAATTCTTGATCTCTTGTTTCATAAAACTCTTTAGCATAGGTTTTGTCCCACGGTTTTTTGCTGTGTGAGACACAAGGTAAAAAGGAAGCCTGATTTTAACTGTAGCCTTCAGCTACTCAAGGCCAACCATTGTACACATGTTCAAACCCTGAAGAATTCATGAGTTTGGCACAAACATGAGTGAAGAACTGAACAGCATTAGCAATGAGTATGTAATGCAACCACTGCAGTCTAGCAAGGAAAGGTTTGAGATCACTCAGTGACAAGCACTGATTAACTGGTTCACTACAATAATTTAATAAATTGCCTATCTAGTTTTTTTACATTCTATACAACAATGCAAGGGGTTTTTTTTCCTTGTATGGTTAGTAATAGTGACATTCATTACATCAAAATAAGGAAAAATAGGTCTGCAGTATATTATATTCTTGCCAAAACATCTTTGGCACCTTCAGGTTGGTAAAGTCAGATTACTGACAGCAGAGGACAACACAGACCTCATTAGTGAATAATACTAAAAACATGTATCAAAAAATCAGATCATACCAGCATTTTACTGTATAAACCCCAGCATCATCCATAAATTTGCTGTAGAGCCAAAATTCTGGAAGTAGTAATCTCTTAAAAAATCATTTTGAACACCTATGTGAAATAAATGTGAAAGAGAAAAGCAGTCCAACAAAGGCAATGACAAATACCTTTACTCTGACTAAACTACACCTACTTTTAGATGTTTACTGCATAATCAGACATGTCCAACAGACTTCAACGTACCCAAAAGCCCTGTAACCCTGTGAAATCTGGTATTTATTTTCTTTAACTCTGTGTATACCAATATAGCATCCATTTAGCACCCAAAAGACTAGTTGGTTATACCAAAAGTAATGCAGCATCGTGTTGAAAACAAGAAGTTTTACAATTTTTTTTTTTTTTTTGTTCTCTGTTAGCCTTAGCTCTGATACTCATTTACTTTGTGTGTCACACTGCCTTTCCAGGTTGTGTTTGCTCGAGAAGGACCATATCATGACTGAGGTTAAAGTTTAAAATCGCATGAATGCAAATTTTTTTTCATTCATCTTAGGGCTCAGACGAGCATGGTGGGGCTCCCTGAGCCACACAAACAGATACCAAAGGAAGGCCATGCCCTGCACAGGGCAGCATCATGGTGTCCCTTCCACTGCACAGCACATCATGTGTCAGATCCATGCCCAAAATAGCCGGCAGCCTCAGTGGAAACTGTGCCCAGGCTTCAGGGTTCCAACATGCCCTCCCACCTGAGGCTGTAGGGAGAGCAAGTCATTGAGCAAGTTATTTCCACAGCTGCTGCCCTCTCGGGAGGGCCTTCACCCTGCAGGAGCCCACAGCGAATACACCTGCCATGGTCATCCGACAGCAGAACCACAGGTACAGCTAGCTTGGAAAAAACCTCCAAGATCATCAAGTCCAACTCCTGACTCAACACCACCGTGTTAACCAGACCATGGCACTGGGTACCACATCCAGCTTTTCTTTAAACATCTCCACAGACGCTGACTCCACCAACTGCTTGGGCAGTCCCTTCCAGCGTGTAAACACTCTTTCTGTGAAGAAAGTCTTCCTAATTTAAACTTCTCCTGGCACAGCTTCAAGCTATATCCTCTCATCCCGTCACTAGTTGCTTGGGAGAAGAGGCCAAGCCACAGCTGGTTACAATCTCTTGTCAGGTGGTTGTAGAGACTGATAAGGTCACCCTTAAGCTGCCTCTTCTCCTGCCTGAATAACTCCCGTTCTTTCGGCCGCTTCTCATAGGACGTGTTCTCCCAGCCATCCACCAGCTCCGCTGCCCTTCTCTGGACACGCTCCAGCACCTCAGTGCTCTCCCTGGAGTGAGGCGCTCAGGAATGGGCACAGTAGTGGTTGTGGCCTAAGGGGTGCCGAGTACAGGGGAAGAATCGCTTCTCTAGTCCTGGTGGCCACGCTATTTCTGGTACAGCGGGACGTGTCTCCTCTTTCCGGCACACCCCGCGCCCGCAGCGGGGCTGCCCAAGGCCGGTGTCCGCCCGCGCCCCGGCAGTGGCGGCGCCAGCGCGCAGCCGCCTGGGCCGCAGCCGCGCGGAGATGGCGGCGGAGCAGGGAGCGGGCGGGCCGCGCCATGCCGGGCTCCGCTGCCGAGGTGAGGGCCGGCTACCCAAGGCACGGGCCGTGCGGGAACAGCGCTGTGTGTTCCGCCGGGGGTAGCAGGAGTGCGGCTTCCCCGCCTCACTAGTGCCCCGGGAGCCGCCGCCTTTGCCTTTGCCTAGCGGTGAGGTCGGGCAGAAGTCGCAGGAGGCACGAACTGCCCGGGCCTGGTTTGCCCTTGGGCGCGGTGCAAGCCCTGGCTGGCCGTAAGGACAGATGGGAACGGGAACAGCGCCCTGAGAAGCGAGGGTTTGGTAGGTAGAGCCGTGCTTGCTTTTCCTCCTGTCCTGGCTGTGCGGGGCTGCTTGTTTCCCCCTGAGCAGGACAGCAGTGGGTCAGAATTAAGCTAGACGGGTGCAGGAATGTGTAGCAAGAACGGATATGAGGAGCCAGGCGAGGTTTAGGTTGGACATGAGGAAGAATTTCTTCACCGACAGGGTGATTAGCTGCTGGAATGGACTGCCTGGGGAGTCACTGTGCCTGGAGGTGTTTGAGGATATGGCTGACAGGTGGTGTTCAGTCACAGGTTGGACTCGGCGATCTCAGAGATCTTTTCCAACCTAATTAATTCTGTGATTTTTGTGAAGTTTTAATGAAGAATTTGGAGAAAAACGCACAGAGTTAGCATGCCCGTGACATTCTAGATCACGTTTAAAGTGCGCTGGCCCACCCGCTTCCTGGGAAGCGAGCACAGGCAGACTTGCAGGCTGGTCTCCCCCAGGTTTCGTGGGCTGGTGATCGAGATGGAGGTTCCAGGGGTGATGCTCAGCCTCTGGGGCATGAGCCTGACCCCAAACCTCGGCCAGACAATCTGTCACCTGTGGCTGACTTCGACGCCAAGCGAATGCCAGCTGCTTCCAGATACACACGGCTGGGCTACTGCTCCCAGCTGCCGTAACTTCCCTCCCGATTTCTATCGAAAGTGGCTGTAATTCCACTCTCAGAAGAAGCTGACCTTGGAAGCTGCAGGATGGATATCTGTAATGGTGCTATTATAGGAATTCTTTATGTATTTGTTATATTGGTCTCCATGCAGCATTGACGTCTTGAAATAAGGCACATGGTGGCATAAATATAGAAAGGAGTTAGAGTTCACGCTTTTAAATGTAGTATTATTTTAATAGTTAAATATATAAAAATGCATTTCATTTCAAGTGTATTTCACCTCTTGCTTGACCCAATACATCATGGGTCTTCGATCAAGACTCTAAAGTATTAAGGAATTACATAGATTCACTTTTAAGTGTTCATATTCTAGCATAAGGAATGTCAGCAGACACTAATAATCTTTTATAAATACCATTTGTTTAAATCGTGCTATTTATCCATTCAGGATGGATGACCTTTTCAGGAGCATATGTACTCTCCTGCATACAAAGGATTTCTTTTTAAAGGAAAAAAGTATTATAATTTTTCAGTGGAAAACCTGTAAAACAACAACAAAGTGATATATAATCTAAGTATGGCCCTGGCAATGGAATGACAAATAGACATAGTATAGCACCAAGACTTAACTAAAAAAATGAATGTTAAAGCAATGAAAAGACAGTGTTCATCTGACAAATGATGAAGAGCTTGCAGAAGTTCATAAAGCATGTTTTTACTACTTACATGTTCCATTTTTATATTAATTTGTCAGCACAATTTTCCATAAAGGCATATTGCAAATGAAACGTTTACCTTTGCTTGGTAGTGTGCTAGAATTGAATTCCTTGCTGACTGTTATGGATAAGAATAATCTTTGAAGCTATTTTGCTAAAGAAATGTGTTCAAGAAAAAGAATTGCTTATTTTTCTCCAAAATTATTAACCTTTTCTTTCTAAAGTGTTAAGTAAACAAATGTACTTTGGATGGATGTGTCTTAAGTACATCTTTACTTACTGATTTAGGCTTCTGTCTTCAAGACAGTCTGTTTTGTTGGACTTTTGTGCCAATGCAGAGCTCAGTGAAAGAAGGAAGTGTGATCCACCTCGGGAAAGCTTTGTTTAGATTGAGGTTGTCCAGGTTTCAAATAGGTACATCTCCAAGGGAGTATAAACTGTATTTATGGAGACTGAAAAATAGATGGACATGTAAGAAATTTGATGAGATCTCTCACTTGAAAGGCCAATCTTAAACCTGCAGCTCACAACATGTTCTTCTTTTCTATAGATTTAAAAAGTGTTAATTCTACTTGGGTAAATGAACAAGAAATTTAAGACAAAATTACAAAATAGCGGAGGAAAGCTGTAAACCCAAGAACGATTATGAAAGGTAACACCTTTAAAGTAAACGGGAAAGAATTTTCAGTCTTTTGTAGTTATAACAGAATTTGTAGAAGTCTGATTTTTTTTTTTTTTTTTCCCCCCCCTTCATGTACTGGTTGCTGGAGCCATGTTGTGCATTATACTGTAATCTTTCCTTTTCAGAAAGGTGTGAACTCCTAATTATTTTGTCTGCAGTGGAAAGATGGGAAGACTAGAGGCTTACAACTTTTAAAGAAATACAGAACAGTTCCCTTTTTTTTTTTTTTTACTTCTTAAGAGCATTATAGTGTATAAGCCAGTCTCAATGTTCTGGGCATTTTGACTTCCCAGTCTTTAGAGGACAATGTTATGAATGCTTCTTGTGCACAGTCATTGAGTAGAGGGAGCAGAGCAGCTGAGTAATACAATCCCAGTGGTGCTGAAAGAGCACCAGAACATCTAATGAACTGAAACTGTTAGCTGTATAAAGCAATGCAGTTAAAGTATGTTGAAGAAACTGGCTTCTACTTGGAGATGTCACAGCCTTCCTGAAATTTTTGGGCTTGTTTGCTGTCTGAAGTGGTTGGAAATCTGAATATGAGCATTTGCATCAATCCAGATGAACAGTTAGGAGACTAAACTACATTGCATAAAAGTAGTTATTTAATAAACAATGACACAAATCCGCTTAGATCGTATTTCTGTTGCCAGGTATGTTTCTTGAGTGAGGAAAAATGTTTATAGTATCCTCTTGCTGTGGAAAAATAGTGAAACATTGTTCACATTGTCTGTCAGATTTAACAACAATTTTTTTTTGTTCTAAAATCTGTTACTGTTGGAAAAACATGAATGTTAGGAAATGAAGCAGTAACTTCACAAAGTGCAGAAAAACTTTCACACAGTGAAGTTTTGGTTCAGTACTGAGGCAGGTGATGTTAAAGGATAGATATTAGCATTTTCTACTTGGCTCAGCTAAAGTTTTGCTCTTCATGATAGAGACATGTTGGGAAAATGCCAGATGTATTTCTAACAAGCTGGGATTTTTGTGCAGATGATAAGCTGTACTCTTTAGCTTGCAGGAGACTGTTAATATATAGTCACAAAAATTATTGTATGGTTTGTGGAAGAACTGCATGTGGCTGCGCCAAAAGCCTGAATCTTGTGATAAACTTTACTTTAGAAGCTCAGCTTAATTAGTGCAAAATACACATCACAATCTGTGTCTCTACCATAGCTAGGTAGCATTAAGTCATGTCTAAGTCATCTGCTGAAGTTCCATTCAACACAATTCTTTTCCTATGTGTTGTCACTTGAGGCCAAAATGGGAGTTCATGTTTAGAAAATGTGCCCTGTGTGTCAAAAACCTGACTTTTGACCTGCTTGAAGCCCAGCTAGTACCTCATGCTGACAAGTAGTGGAAAGTGGCTGGGAGAAAACCAATTCCTCTGCCAGCTTTGATAAGGCTTTGTCATGAAAATTTGATAAACCAGAGATCTCCATGGAACATTTCTGTGACCTTGTGCCCAAACTAGGAAATGGATATTAGAATAAAGTTAGTTAATATTGAAAAATAATCTGGTTGTACCTTTGAGAAACCACACAAGTGTTTCTTTATGTGAAATGGTGTAAATTTTAAAGCAGATAAACACCCACTTTATTTATACATAATTACCAGTAAAACTGTTGATGACAAATCTCTCAGAATTATATATACATTTTATTATTTCCTCTGAATCAAAATATATTAGAATGTATTGTGAGTCTGTATATCTGTCCAGTTGTGGAAGAGATTACCTAATACCTCCACTTGACAATTGTAATCTGTAACTTGTTGAAAATTTCTTTTTTTTTAACTCCTTAAAATTATTAACAAGGTCAATAATATAAATAAAAAAATATTTCATATCAGTGGCATAATGCAGTACCTGTAACATTTTCAGTGTCTCAAGTAATTAACTACTTCATTCAGTAGAAAAATCCACATGGTTCAGGATATAGGAAAAGCTAAAATATCTTCTGGTGTGAATCAGTTTAACTGTAAGTTAAATTATTAAAAGGAGCCATTAGCAAGGTAATGTCTCTGTTGGGATGTGCATCCTCTCTGACAGCAGTGGAGCATCCTAGAACTCCAAACAGCTGTAGCTATTCCATTTGTACAGTATTTGCTCATTTAGTTTTTACCATGGAGCAAATTGGGGTTTAATTCCTCTGGTGTAGCTGTAATATATTGAACATTTTCGTGAGCTCTGGGTAACATACTGATGTCAAATGAAGCCAGTGGCCAAGCAGTCTGATAAGGACAGCAGCTTTTCCTATATCTCATTAAATCCATTCATGTTTGATCTTATTCGAAAAATGTGCTGACAGCTCTGCATTGAGGTTGATCCCTGAGGCTTGAGAATTTCATTATGTGCTGTATTGATTGTTTTATCTTTTTTTAAGAATATAAGAATTCAATTTTAATTAAAAATGGGGGGTCTAGAAGATGCAACTCCAAATAAGGATTAAAAATTGCCTTGTAAAAGAGGATACTCTTCACATGAATGTGATACACTCTCCCATCTCTCCTATTCAAACTTGCTAATTTGAGCAGAAAGCTGTGGCAGAACTATTTCACTAAAAGAAACACAAGGTCGAGACAATATAGCTCCATATTAGTTAAGAGTGTTGTAGTTCAGGCAGCCACAGATTTAAAGATGCAGGACCAAGCTACTTCTCCATATTAGTACTGTGTACTCCAGTGCTTCTGAATCTGTGAGTGAGAGGTGACTCTTGGTCAGTGAGGTGTCAGTGGTCATGGAAAGCTGGAAATTATACTGCTGTATTGCCTCAGTTCTCTTTATATTCACTTAGCTTTATTCATGTTGCTATTCTTTGAAGATGAACTTGTGTTTAGTCCTGAATTTTTTAGCTGTGGGGGGCAGTCCTGTGGAGAGACAGGAAGAGCTCTGATTTTTGCCAAGATGAAATAAAAGCTCCAGTAAATAGTTTATTGGTGCTGTTGCTGTTGTCTGCTCTCCCAGTGTAGATTGGATGAAGAAATTTTTTTGGGGTTGGAGGCTGGCTGTGAGAATTCTCTGATTTCTGCTTAGGCTCTTGAATTTAAACTAGCATTTGATAATTTTCATTTATATGGAATTTAGGTTGCCCAAAGTAAGCTGGTGTTTCTAGGACTATGCTATGCATCATCTCTGCTATATCATTAATATTTTTTAACACAATGTTTGCAGAACATTTATTCTGCTGTGTCATGGTTTAACCCCAGCCAGCAGCCAAGTCCCACAGAGCTTCTCACTGACGGCCCCACCAGCGGGGAGAGAATCAGAAGGATAAAAACCTGAAAACTCATGGGTCGAGATAAGCACAGTTGAATAGGAAGAGTAGAATCCGCACACATAAGCCAAGTAAAACCAGGAATTCATTCACTGCTTCCCATGGGCAGGCAGGTGTTCAGACATCTCCAGGAGAGCAAGGCCCCAAGACAAACACCATTGCTCCAAATGTCCCTGCCTTTCTTCTTCTTTCCCCCACTTTATATACTGAGCATGATGTCAGATGGTCTGGAATATTCCTTTGGTCACTTAGGGTCACCTGTCCCAGCTGTATCTCCTCCCAGTCTCCCTTGCATCCCCAACTTCCTCACCAGCATGGCAGTAGGAAAGGCAGACAGGGCCTTGGCTTTGTGTAAGCCCTGCTCAGCAGTGGTAGAAACATCTCCATATTACCAGCCTGTGTTCAGCACAAATCTAGAGCACAGCCTCATACCAGCCACTGTGAAGGAAATTAATTCTACCCCAACTGAAACCAGCACACGCTGTTAGGAGTATTTGGCTTCTGATCCTTGTCTGGGCTGTGGTCTGGATTTTTTTCCAATTACATAGAATTTCTTGGAGAAAAGCTCACCTGCAATGGAGGTTGGGATGAGGGAGAAGAGGACAGGTATTCACCCTTCCAAGACATTCATACACACTTGCTTGGATGTATTCTGAGTTTGTCTTGGTTTTTCAGGGTTAAGATAAAATGGACTATGGCTTTGTACAGGGTAAGGTGTAAAGCAAAGACAAAGCATTTATCCCAAATGCTTTTGGAGAGGGCAGTGTTTTTCCTGGGGACTGAATTTGCACCTAATAGCAAGTGTCTCAGGCTGGTTTTCTCTTACTTACTTTTTATTATTTTTATTAAACATTTTTCTGTTTAAAAAATGTTCTGATTCCAATTGGCATTATTACAGGATGGCCATATTTTAAACCTGAGGTAGCCTGATGTTTGGGGTTTTTTTTGCAAGCGAACTGGCTTACAAGGTTTTAATCGATTGTCATCATTTATTCCTGTACACACAAGTGACTCATTATACCATGCAGTCAGTGAGAGTTTGTAATGATTTGGCAAGAAAGTGCCTCATCAGCACAGCATTACAGAGTCTCATTGTAAATACGAGCCTTATAACCTTCAGTGTATGCTTGGAATTTAAACAGCTGTTTTCATGCATATTTGGAAAGTCATGGTGGTCAGGTGAAGTCCCTGGTGACTAGAAAAAGGGAAATGTCGCTTGCAGTTTTAAAAAGGGGAGAAAGAACAATTCAGGGAACTACAGACTCATGAGACTCACCTCTGTGCCTCGGAAGAGCCTCCTAGAAGATGTGCTAAGGGATATAAAAGATAGAAAGGTAATTCAAGGTAGCCAGCATAGCTTTACTAATGGCAAGTCATGCCTGACCAATCTGGTGGCATTCTATGCTGGAGTGACAGCAAGGATTGACAAGGCAAGACTGAGCAATGTGATCTATCTAGACTTCTGTAAGACCTTTATTATAGTCCCACATGACATCCTTATCTCCAGATTGGAGAGACATGTATTTGATGGATGGATTCATTCATATTCAGTGGATAAGGAGTTTTCTGGATGGATACAGCCAGAGTGTTGTAGTTAGTGGCTCTATGTCCACGTAAAGGCTGGTGATGAATGGTGTCCCTCAGGACTCTCATGGGACAGGCACTCTTTAGTATCTTCCTCAGTGACATGGACTCAGTGGCACTGGTGCACCCCCAGCAAGTTTGCAGATGACACAACAGCAGGACAGGATGCCGTGCAGGGGGCCCTGGGCAAACTCGAGGAGTGGGCCCACGAGCACCTCATGAGATTCAACAAGTGCAAGGTGCTGCACCTGGGTCAGGGGCATCCCAGACATGAGCACAGACTGGGAGAAGTCACTGAGAGCAGCCCTGCAGAAAGGACTTGGGGGTTCCTGTGTGTGAAAAGCTGGACATGAAGCCAACAGTGTGTGCTTCCAGCCCAGAAGACCCATGGCACCCTGGGCTGCATCAAAAGCAGCATAGCCAGCAAGCTGAGGAAGGGGATTCTTCCACTCTACTTTGCCCCTCTGAAGCCCCACCAGGAGTGCTGCATCCAGCTCTGGGGTCCTCAGCACCAGAAAAACATGGACTTGTTAGAGCAGGTCCAAAGGACCACAAAGATGGTCAGAGAGCTGGAGCACCTCTCCCATGAAGACAGGCTGAGAGAGCTGGAGTTGATCAGCCTGAAGAAGAGGAGGCTTTGGGAGTACCTTAAAGGAGCACCAGTACCTTAAGGTGCTTATAAAAAGGAGGGAGAGGGACTTTTTATATGGGCAGATAGTGCCAGACAAAATGTCAGTGGGCTTAGATTGAAAGAAGGCAGGTTTATATTAGATGTTGGGAAGAAGTTCTTTACACAGAGGGTGGTGAGGCGTTAGAGCAGGTTGCCCAGAGAAGTTGTGACTGCCCTATCCTTGGGAGTATTCAAGAGCAGGCTGGATGGGACTCTGAGCAACCTGGTTTAGTAAATGCCCTCTGTGCCCATTTTAGGGAGTTGGAACTAGGTGTTCTGTAAGGTCCCTTCCATCCAGCCTGATTCTGTCATTGCTAAACTGAAATGCTCTGTACAGTTGGAGGAGGGTTGAGGATGTTTGTTTTCTACTGCACAAAATTGTGATGCTATCACTTGCTCATTCTTTTTCTTACAGCTCTACCTTAAGAAAAAACAAGTCTTTCTCAGATTTCTTGTCTCTTAGAATTAGGATCACAGCAGAACAATGCTGAATGAGTTAGATTCAGTTAATTTTATAAATATTTGCTCAGTAGCATTTGTCAAACTGCATTAAATCAGACAGAAAAGCAGTAAAATTCCGAATTTTAGGAAAGTGTACAGACAGTAACTGGATAAGGGATGCACTCTTTCCCTCCTATCTGTATCCCAGCATCTATGGAGTGTGCACGGTTTGTTTACCAAAATTAGGCAAATATGTACCTTAAAAATGTGAAGTCTGTAGTTCACAGAACAATTGTTTTATCTTTTTTCTTCACAGGCTGGCATTCCTCCTACACATTTCAAAAGTTTCCATGGGTTTGCTATGCCACAGCTCCCTCAAGTGGTAGAATAATTTTCCATTTAGAATTGCAGCTTGATTTCTGTGACACATTTGCATTCATTCATAAGATTTTGGGGGTTCTCCTAACTTACTGTTCTATCTGATTTATAACAAAAAACATCAGAGTTCGAAGAACAGGAGTCTAAGCAGGGAAGAACTCAGGCTTGCTGTACTTGGGTTCCCAGTGAAGTTTGGCTAGAAAATACACTGCACTATTACCACTGCATCAGTAATTTCAAGTTTCTCCCTACAGGAACGTGAAAAAACACGATTTCTACAGTTGTCTACTTAATCATGTTGTGCTTTGATTTGGAAAGCAGAAAAGGTGCTTGGCATTCAGACTTAATATGAAATGCAGTGCAGGTTCCCCAGTATTAATGAGCTTTGCTTCATCCTTTGAAAGAAACCATGGTAGTAAAATGAGCTGTTAGATTACTTTATATGTTCCTTGTAAGTTTAGAAATTTCTGTTTAATTTCTGTGTAAAACAATGGAGTCTGTGTCAACCTTGGTGATAAATCTGCGCTTACTTGATTTATAGAGCAACAAACGTACAAACAACTTTTTATTCTTCTAACCACGCTTCCTTTTAATTTGGAAACCTAGATGAAATTTATGCTTGAGTAGTTAATATAATATTTCAGTAGTTAATGTAATATTTCAGAAGTATATATCGCTTTTCACCTTGAAGGATTTTAAAAGTTTTTGCAAACTAGGTACACACAACAAAGCCAGGACCATTTCAAGAATATTTTTCATGTACAAACCTCTCTGATGTCACTGATTATTACCTTTATTTAGTGTTTTTTTCTGCTGTTTCTTATGCTTCTACCAATTACCAGTGAATATCTACCTCCATTAAAATATTTAATTACTTTTTCTGTTACTTTTACCTAACTTATTACATTTGAAGGGAGTCACTCCATCCTACCTATTTGCTATAATTTATACATTTTGAGAAAAGCATTTCCTTAGACGTGATTATTTTGACTCAAATATTAGTAGTCTATTAGGTGGTTTAATTCCCAAAATTATTTTTAAATAATTGTTTATAATTTGATGTCCATATTGTGATTTCAGTTTGTTTATTTAACTGCTGCCAAAACACTGACAAATTATCAGCAGAGGTTTGTGTATGATAATTTCTTTGTGTGTCCATAGTCCTGTATACTAAATATTGAGAGTTCATTATTTCATCTTGCATTTAGATAAGTTCTGTGATGTGTGAACATAATATATACATATATATATAGACACAAGAGCTGAAGAAAATGAGGAGTATTTTGGAAGAAGGATACTGATTCTAAGACACAGGGCAATCATACTGGCTTAACATATAACTGTTACCAACTCTGCCCTGGATTGCATGGAAAACAGTAAATCGGCAGATAATAATTTTCTAATGTCAATTTCTTGGTATTCTGGAGATAGAGAACTATTCTTGCTTTGTGAGGGTTTCCTACATGACAAAATTTTCTGTTCACAGCCTTTGTGTTCCTATAGCAGAACAGAGGAGTGGATACACTCACATACTCTTTTTAGTATGATGATGCAGAGGGCTCAACTTAAGTATGTAAAAACTGCATCCTGTTTCTCTGAGTTTGAAACTTCTTAAATAATTAATCCGTTTCTGTAATTGCCATTACTGAGGTTTTGCAGGCCTTCAAAATGTAAGACAAGAGTGTTTAAGTACACTTGAGAGAATGCTGCCCTTTTCTTTTCTGGAGCTCTGAGGTCCTACCTAAAGTTTGAACTTGTTTCTGTAATGCAAAAGACAAGTTAGCTGGTGATGGTGCAAATTACTCAGTGTATCTTGTGTCCCTTCTCTATCCCTGTTCTCAGGAGTTTTCGTCATGGAAACTATGATGCTGCGAGAAACCAGCAGTTCCTTCCCATATGGACGTGTGTAGCTAGCCTTGTCTCTGTCAGGCAGATGAGTTTTTCTGGAGTAGAATCAGAATGGATGCAATTTCAGACAAAAAACTGATTTCGTGCATAAACTTAGAAGACTTAACTGCAGAAAAGGAGAACCTAACAGTTAGAACACACTACTCATTTCTGCGTTCTAAATTTAATTTTCTTAATTTAATTTAATGTTGGAAATATAAAAATTATTTTTGCATGCAAATTTGCAAAAACGCACTGAACATTTTTTGATCAAAGGGCTTGATGAAAAGGAATTAAAAGGAAATACTACTGAAACCATGAGATTCAGCGTTCTGAAGACTTCCTTTGATTTTCCTTTATGCATCAGAATATATGGGAGCATGCTTTAATAATGCTACAGCTGCAATAAAATAGAGATCTGTCTTTAACCTTTAAGAATTTTCAAAATTTGTAGATGTCAGTGTTTTGAAACTGTTTTGCAAGTGTCACTGTTTTTGAGCTGCCCCATCTTGATAATCCCTCGGTAATAGGATGCTAGAGCTAGCGAGAGAAAGGGCAGCAGTGGGACCTCAGGTAAAAGTCACGACTCTGACTTGCTTCTCTGATAGATATGAGGAGAAACTTTTGAAAGAAATGTAGCATCATCTCTTGCCTAGCAAGTGAAAAATTGAGGGTCGTGTAGGAGCCAGAATGGTGTTTTGGGCTTCTGTACACCATTTCAAGGAAATGGTGGGAAACCCAGTGATATATACAAATAAAAATAGTGTAAAGTAGCATAAAATGAAAAGAAGACCTTGTGTTAATATACAGAAGATGAATTAATGTTATAACTGCCATAAAGGTGATGATCTTTTTTTTTTTTGTTTCCAGATTTAAAAATGTCTGATCTGAAAAATATTGTACACAGAACCCATTGTATTGAAAAATTGCTGTCTGAGAACAATTTGCAAGGTATTGAGGATCATCTTAAACAACTTGAAGATGTTGATATGACTATGGAATATCTTCAGGGGACAGAAGTTACCAAGGCTGTATATAGAGTACTCAAGAGCTGCCCTTCAGGAGAATTGAAAAAGAAAGCAAAGCAGTTATTGTCAAGGTGGAAAGCACTTTACAAGAATAACTGTGCTCAGTCAATGCAAGTTAAAAAGTCAGTTTCTGTGTATGTAGAAGAAATTGAGCATCTCAGTGTAGTTCCTAAAGAGCAGTCTCTGTCTCAAGGACCATGTGAGCAGGAGGCATTAGATGGTACTAGTTCGAACATTTTGGTCCCCTCACAAACTGTTAAAAATGTGGTATGTAACAATGCAGAAGGCAGTATGAATCAGCATTCTTCTTTTGAGGAACAACACACTGTTCATGAAGATTCTAAATCTGTTGTTAGCAAAGCAAGTCTGCAGCAGGATCTGATAGCTCTGAGGTGTAAATGTGTGGATCTTCTTTATAAAGCTTTGACTGATTCTGCCAAAGACGAAGAAGAAACTGTTAAATGGCTAGAGTTAGCTAAAGAAATTGAAGAACATATTTTTGCTCTTTATCCTAAAAATGATAAAAAGTACAAAAATTGTGTCAGAAGTAAAATCTCTAATCTTAAGAACCCTAAAAGTTGCCACTTAAAATACAACCTTTTTTCAGGAACTTTGAGCCCAAAGGCTTTTGCTGAGATGACAGTGATGGAAATGGCCAGTGATGAACTGAAAGAGCTCAGGGCTCTGTACACAAAATCATCAGTTCAGGAACATCAGCTTCCGCAGGTTATTAATGGCACACAGACAAACAAAATAAAGTGCAGACGCTGTGAAAAATTTGATTGCACTGTCACTATGATTGCCAGAGGAACTCTCTTTCTTCCAGCTTGGGTGCGAAACACAAATCCAGATGAACAAATGTTGACTTATGTTATTTGTAATGAATGTGGAGAACAGTGGTATCACAGCAGATGGATTTGTTTGTAATGCTACCCCTCTTTAATAAGGGACTTGGAAACATGTATAAGAATGTACCTCTGTGGAAACTCTGTAATTTGAAATTCTCTGTTGGTATTATGTGGGTGCTGCCATTAAAAACTGCAAAATCAGTTTTAAAAAAACTGCTAATGTATTTTTAAAGATTGTTTGAATGAATCTTATGTGTTTTTAAGTAATGTAAATATGTAAAGAAATAAAAGGATAAAGGGGAAAAATGGTTACACTGTATTTGAGTGGAATATTTGCTAGTAAATCCATTAAAATTATTCCAAGTGCTGAGTTTTCCTGAAGGGACTGGATACTTGGAAATTTTTTTTAACTTCAGGAGGAGTTATTTCACAGAACATACGTTTCATTTACAGTAAACAGTTTCCACAACTCCAATGGAAATTGCAGTTTCCATTTGCAATGGAAATTGCAAAACATAAATACTTGTGTCCATTGCATAATGTTCAGCATGGATTCACTCCTTAATTAAATCACTTTTTGCAAGCAAGTGTTAGATTATTAAATTGGTCTGAGTGGTAATTTCTAACAGGAAAAAAGAAAGTAGAACATTAAAGGGGGTAGAAAGCAGCTAGCAAATAAAAGCAAGAATGAGATTCTGCTTTGTTGTTTTTAGCTATTAGAAGGAAAACAGGACTTGTGACAGTCTATCAGTATGCAGACCAGATTTATAATGTAAGATGGTGAGTCCTGATACTGCAAAGAAATTAATGCAGGATCAGACAATGGATTATTTCAGAAAATGATGTAAATATGTTACTGGATCAATGTTTATTTAATAAAATTAGTAGTAGTTAATAACTTTCTTTAGTGTATATCCTCTTTGGAACTGGAGCATTTGTCCTGAACTGAGAAAATTAATGTTTTTATATAGTGCACATTACCCTTAAAAAATGAATAGAAGGATTTGTTCCAGAGTCAATGGGATTCTCACTGATTGTTTACTAGAAGTACTTATTTAAAAAAAAATTCTTCTCACTAAAGAAAGAGACCCGTGTCTTTTACAAATGCACAACAGGCATTTAGCACTTCAAGGTAAAAATGTATCAGCAGAGCAGAGAAACCTGCTGAGTATTTGCTGGAGGAATTGAGGACAGTTCTGCACCCATCTGACTGTGACACAGCTGAGGCTGGTCAGCTCCTTTGGGCTGAACTGCATGACCTCTCAGAGAAAGGAGTTGGAGGCATGAGATGAGAAAATAGGTATTGGTGAGCTAAATGCCAGCCAGGACTAAAAGACAGGCCTTTATTTGTATATGGAGAAAATGACGTGTAACCTGATGTTGTAAAGAGACACTTAAACTATTCTACTGAAAAAAGAAGAAAAATCTTTCCATTCTATGAAGGGTTAACAATTACCTTTCAGCAGCATTACTTAGATTTTTATAATGTAAAAATACATGCTTTAGGGGAATTGCACTGATGTAAAATACACATTAAAGCTTTAGTGTTCAGCTGTGTAACGAAGGACTTATTGTCCTATCCTACTGTTCAGTACTTCCTTCCTAGCCCTTACTTGTCTGCTGGAATTGATGCTTACAAGTAGTCCTGCTTAAGTGGCAGTGCTTTTGTGTAAAGTGTTATTGTTAGCTTTCAATGCAACTACAGGAAAGCAAACACTCCTGTGTCAGTGGATCACAGCCAGCGCAGGATTGTGTGCAGTCATTTTGAAGGTCGTGGTCCTGTTGAGGAGAGCTTATGCCAGCATTGTGCTGTGTCAGAACACCATGTAGCAGAAGACTTTATTTTAGCTGTGTACAACTTATAAATAATTTCTGCCTGCAGTTGGTTTTGAAGCCATTCCAGTAATGTAGAGCTCATCCAAATTTTATCTTGGCAAAGGGAAGTATTACAAGGCATGGAGGGTGTTTCTGACAGAATATATTTCGAGGGTAAAATTTGCGTCTGTAACATTGACTACATTTGTGACATAATATGTAACATTTTATTTTGAACCGCCCATCACTAAATGTGTAACTCTGCAGGCTTAAAATCTTTGACTGGCTAAGATTATATGCTTTGTCTCAAAATGTCTCTAAAAAGGCAAGTTCCAACTACGTAGTGTGTACAGCAGCAGGAGGGTGTAGATCACTGGAGCACAGGGAGTAGAGTCCAGAAACAAAAGAAAAGCTTTGAAAAGTGAGATTCTTTTAAATTGTTGAAGTCTTTTTTTTTCAGTTCATTCTAGGTGAGAAAAAGATCTCTGAACTTTTTAAAGCAGAGACGATTAATTTGGGTATGATGTTTATCATGTCTGTGCTGCTACTCCTACAAGGAGTGTGTCATTAGAGGTGATCCCCACAAACATAGAACAAATATATTCTGAACAAGGTTAAAGTCTGTATTTGTCTTCACGGGGTTTTCCAGAGATGCTGTACATTCAACTCATTGAAACCTGTGATCTAACAGCAGCAATAAGGTCTTAAACATAAATTGCCCTCAAAGATCAAGCACCCTGTAGCTGCAGAACTTGTGATGCATATTTTAAGAAGATGAGAGCTGAATTAACAATCAATTTCAATGTAAAAACAAAGATACTATTCTATATCTGGAGGGCTCTATTAATTGTAGTAATTGTCGCTTCCTTAACACCAGTAACAAAACTCCTTGTGGTTCCTAGAGATCCTCTGCCAGATCCACTTCCTTCTGTTCTGCTGAGTGCCTTTTCTATCTCTGTCATATCCCTCTTACAGTGCACTTTTTAGGGAGGTACTCAGCTGCCATTTGTTGTTTGTAACTCTTTCTTCTTTTCAAAACCAAAAGGAAATTTGTGCTGTTTATTTTTCATTTAGAGTGTGTTCCTTTCCATCTGCTGTGCTATCTACATTTGCTACTAAAGCGAAGAACTGTAACTCTTTAAACAAAAAAACAGCTCTTTTTTTGTCCCAAGAAGGAAAGTTAGCTGGTTACAGGCTGTGGTTAAGGAGCAAATGTGTTGAATTACAGTCCTCCTGGGAATCTTCAGGGTGTAATGGCCCAATTCACTGACTGCCTGGAAGATAAGGAAAGAAACAAGAGCACTTTGATAATTTCTTGGATTGCTTGGAAGCTGGCTTGCTGCATTCTGGTATTAACAGAGCCATAAAGGCAGATGACTTCATATCCCCTTATTTTGTACTGCTGTAATTCAGCCAAGAGGTGACAAAGTCATGTTTTACTGAGGCCATGTCATCACTTGCCAGGATGGGACATAGTCTTCTTGCCAACTGCAGATGGTAAACAGTATTATTCACAAGCTCTTATTATAAGAGAGCTTTGCTGATACAGAACTTCCCGCTACTCACACAAAAAAAGTTGCCCTTTATTTGCCATTGGGTGTTTTTTGTGCTGCTCTCTCTGACATGGCATAACAACACTTCATGAATACACCTCTGTGAACAAAATCCTTAAGGGTGCAAAATCAGCTTTCAGATGAAGGTGCATGAAGGGAGTAGCAAGGGTGGGTTGCTGCACAGGGGGAGGCGAGCCAGAGGTAGATGGTGGGTGACAAGGCAGGCAGGGACAGTGGCTTCAGTTAAAAGGGTCACTGTCCAGCAGCACCCAAAAAAGAGCAAGGCAGGTCCAGTGAAAATAATTTGCCAAAAGTTCAGGCAGGTCTGGGGATGTGCTGTCAGATGGAGTTTGGTGCACAAAGTGGGGTGCAGGAATGGGGCACCAGGTTTGTACACTGTGAGCCAAAACGGGGCTCTTGCTGGCAATAGGAATATGAAGCAACTGCCCCCACCAGCACTGCCCCAGCCCTGCTCCCCACCTCTGGGATGGTCCAACAGCAGCCTCAGACAGGGGCAGCCCCACAGCAGCCACCATTGAGACCCTGCCTGTCTGCAGAATTTAAACAGCAGTGATTTTAGTGCACTTGTTTCAAACTGCATGTTCTTCTGTCTGACCTGAGGACTGGCAGGTGGGCTTCACATGACCAGCTCTGTCAGAGACATTAATTGTTCTGCAATTTGTGTTGTTCTGTAGCAACTACAGGGTTTGTTACATGGTATGTAACAGAGTGGACACAGGGAAAAGGGCCTTCAGTTCCTGATCCTCAAGCACTCATGCATGTATATAACCATGAGAGTAACCCTATGATGCTGATCCATTATGCCTATAAAATCATGAGCATAGTAGCCAAGGTTACACCGTGGTTCTTTTCTTATATGTTCCCATGTAGAGGAAATAAAAATACATCTTATCTGAGAAGTTCAAGAATTTAATTTCTAAATAGAACTTGAAAAAATGAGGTATCTGGACAAGCTGAAAAACTGGGTTCAAGTGAATCCTCATGAGGATCAGTGAAGCCAAGTACAAGATACTGTACCTGAATCAGGGCAAGCCTGACTATATCAATGCAGGATGGGAGTTGACTGGGTTGAGAAGAGCCCTGAGGAGAAGGACTTGGGGATGCTGGTGGATGAGAGGCTGGACATGAGCTGGCAATGTGAACTTGCAGCCCAGAAAGAATCAAAAGCAGCGTGGGCAGCAGTGGGTTCTGCTCCTCTGCTTTGAGCTCATGAGACTCTACCTGCATCCACCTCTGGGGTTACCAGCACAGGAGGGACATGGACCTGTTGGAGCAGGTCCAGAAGAGGCCACCAACATGATCAGAGGGCTGGAGCACCTCTTCTGTAGGGAAAGAATGAGACAGGTGGTTCAGCCTGGAGGAAAGAAGACTGTGAAGACCTCATTGAAGCCTTCCAGGACCTAAAAATGGGCTTATATGGAAGATGGGGATAGATTTTTTTAGCAGGGCCTGTTCCAGTAAGTTGAGAAAGGAGCATAGATCCAGACTGGACAGACTGACTATATTCAGGCTAGAAATTAATTTTTTACAAGGGTGATAATACCTTTAACAGGTCGCACAGATTGATGGTGGCAGGGCTCTGAGCAATCTGGTCTAGTTGACGAAGTCCCTACTAATTGCAGGGTGATTGGACTGGATGATGTTTAAAGGTCCCTTTCAAGCCAAACTATCTTGTAATTCTACATTTTCTCACATGTATCCAATGTGTTTCAAAACAAAAACATGGTAGCTTCCCCCCAAAAGGTATTAAGTGCAAAATAGAGTAATTATTTCCTCCAGTTCTAAATGCAGCTTTTTCTTCTTTATTAATCATAAAATAATGCCATAATTGATCAGAACTTATATACCTTAGAATTACCATAATATAAAGTCCACCTTCCTTCCTCTCCAGCACTTACTTGTATTTTATTGTAGAATTGGATGAAAGCAGATTCTAGGAAAAAAGCACTTAAAAAATTTCGAAGTCCAGCTTTATTAGATAAAAATGGGTCTGGTATCATCAGATTTGCCTCTAGCATGGCCTGCCTTTTAATAATCCTGTTCCTGTCAGTAGCAGACATCTGCTTTTGACAATACTGAGATGTTGTTTTCCATTCCTTGGGCCGTGTTGATGTCTGATCTAAAACAAGACAGCCCTACAAGTGGTAATTCCAGTCTGATTGCATCTGTGTTATAATCAGAAGCATGTGATGACTGCCTGAGCAAATGGATGTACTTATGCCTGTCATCACCTATTCCTCTTCATGGTGTGGGAACCTCTTTAATTTCTTGTTTTTTTCATTTTAATTATACTTTGCCCTCATGGAGAGGTTATAAGAGCGCAGAAAAGACTGTTATCACTGTCTCCTTTAGCTTTTTTCCCTGTGATCTTGTTTAAACAGTCAAGTTGGTGTTATTCTGAATCACTACAGGAGAAAAAAGTGCCTGGCTACTTTTTAAAAATACTTTTTAAAATGTTTTGTATTTCAATGAATTCCTTCACACAAGCACAATTTTAAATGTTTCTACTTGTAAAGCAAAGCTGCCTTAAAATTGTGAGTTTGCATACCTGGGGCCCTTAGTGTGGAACACAGTGAGACTACTGCCTTTAATTAACTCTGACCGGCAAATACTTAATAAAGACATTTTCGGGTTTAATAGTGCAGGGCATTCTAAGCTTGTAAAAGTGTTATCTTTTCCAGGGGAACGCTCTCAGTGGCGCACGATAATGATCGATGAGAGATGGCCCTCGATGGGCCTTTCCGGCCCTGATCTGGCTCTGGGCACAGTCGCCCCCGTTGCCTCTGTGTTCCCTCTGTCCCCGTGTCCCCCTGTTCCGGCTGTTCCCGTTGTTCCCGCTGTTCCCATTCCCGCACCTTCCCGCGGGTCCGGGCCGAGTGACTCTCCGCCGTCCCCGTGTGGGCGTGGCCGCCACCCGATGGGCGTGGCAGATGGGCGGGGCCTGTGTCACGCGGTGCCCGGTCCCGCCCCCCGCCTGTCCGCCATGTTCGTTCCTTCCGCAGCGCCCGGCGGCGGTGGCGCAGCCCGGGACCGGGACCGGCGGCAGGAGCGGCTACAGGCCTTTCCCGCGGGCAGGGATCGGCCTCACCAGCGCGCCCGCGAGCGGCGGCAGTTCTCTTCCCGCGGTCTGGAGCTCAGTCAGGTTGCGTTATTTTCCTTTCCCTTGCCGCCGCGTTCCCCGCTCGCTCCCCCGCCGCTGTCCGAGATCCCAGGCGCGCTCCCCGGTGTTCCCTGGCTCAGCCTGCAGGGAGCGGGAGGGCAGCCCCGGCCGGGCCCGCCGTGGGAGGGGGCCTCGGGCGCTCCCCAGAGCCGGTGCGGGTGGCGGGGAATGTGGCGTGACCCGGGATCCCGTGACTCCGGGCAGGCGGTGACTCCTTCCAGCCGGCGCACGGCCGGTCGCCGACCCTGCAGCGCTTCTTCACGCCTGAGAGATCGCTGGTCTGTCAGGGTGAAACTCGGCTTCGTGCCTGTGTCCTCAACGCATTTCAGACTGTGAACAGAGGAAGTACTAAAGCTCTTTTTATCTGTTTTTTCTCCTTGTTGTGTGCTTGGAACGGGCTGCCCAGGGAGGTGGTGGAGTCAGAGTCCCTGGAGGTGTTTAAGGAAAGGCTGGACGTGGCACCCAGTGCCGTGGGCTGGTTCACGCGGTGCTGTTGGGTCAGGGGGTGGTGTCGGTGATCTCAGAGGTCTTTTCCAACCTAATGGCTTCTGTGATGGAGAGGGGCCGCCTGCTCAGCGCGTCCTTGGGTTTCAGTTCTTCTTTTTCGGAGCAGTGACTGGCTCAGCCCCTCTGCAGGGCCGGGGAGTTCCCAGTGGCGGCAGGTGCCTCTGCGGCTCAGGTGTGGTCGTGGCTGGGAGGGCAGGGATGGGAATGGGCTGCTCTCGGTGTGAGTAAATCCGTGTTACGTGTAACTTGTGCAAAACAATTGAGTGGATAACAGAATAGTGCAAGAAAAATAATTTTTAAAACCTCCATTAGTGGCTTTTATAGCAAGGTTACATATAACTAGATACGTAGAGAGCATTTAAGTTTTATTAACTTGGGCGGGACAGTCAAGTAGGGAAGTCTCGTCTAGTAAGTTTTATTCAGGAATTGAAATGCTTGTCTGCAGACAGCTGTCATGCAGCCTCCCATCCTATGTGTTGTTTTCCTTCTTGTCCACAATAATTTACAGCTATGCTAAATAAGCACGTGGGTTTTATTTGTCTTTACTTTTAAAGTGTTGTGCAACACTGAAGTTGTCAGTGCTTGCTTTTTTTAGAGTAAGGGTGGTTGTGTGTGTTTTTTTTTTTTTGTGTGTGTGTTTTTTTGTTTGTTTTTTCAAAGTGTTTTTCCATGACTTTTAGTAGCTTTGAAGGTAACAAGCTGTAATGGCAGACTCGAGGGAGAGCAGGCATACCCAAAATAAATCTTAAAACATTTTTCCTTACCACTTTTATTTTCAGAGACACCTAACCAAAGGATAGTACAGCTATATCTGTGTTTCATACCAACATCAAATTTATAATGAACTGTTACTTTTCTCTGTCTTCATTCAGGTTTATGGAGCTGTCTTTGCTGTCTTAATTTTAGTAAAGCCTTTCCCATAAAGTTAATAAGAGAGAATGCACATTAAAAAAAAAAAACAAACCAAAAAAGTCTGCTTTAGCAGTCCTTGTTTTGCTTTTGAGTGCTCAAACACTCAAATATGAAATATGTGAGAAAAATATGTGGAAAAAAAGAATTGCAGAAGGTCAAATAAGATCTTTAGATTTCAAGCTTTGTTTTATTTTGTGTCAATTTGGTAATAAAGTCTGGGAAACAGATCTTCCAGCTCCTTAGGATTGGAATTTTACATAAACATTTCACAATTAATAAAAACTTCCCAGCAAAAAGGCTTGTAATAAGTCCTTAGGGTTTGTTGTTTTATTTGGGTTTTTTAATAGTTTTCATTCTCTTCTGTGTTTTGTTTTTGTTTTCATTCTCAGCAGAGCAGAGAAGTGTGTTGGCCTGGTACAGTGTAACCCACTTAATGCCTTAGGGATGGGCTTTAGTCACAAGAGTTATACTGGGAAGAATATGAATGTACAAGGTAGCCTTCTACCAACAGAGGCTGCTATTACTAAGATTCCCTGAAGGAAAAAGGAAACTAATGCAAGGGAGAAAGATGAGCACATTTGGGCAGAAATAATTGCTGGATAAGTTATTGAAAGAGTGGAAGCAGTAATAGAGAAGTAGGTTGCAAGGAGAATGTCAAATAGCTCCAGCATTGTTAGCAATGTTGGACCAGGAGCAGCAGCACCAGAGGGTGTTTTGAAGTTGGCTGAAAGTAATAGAATATTTAAGTTTCAAGATGTTTAACTGTGAATTGCTGAGAAATGTCAACTGTGATTAAATCCGAATAAATAAGTTTGCTCATTCTGCTTGAATTTGGGGAGTGAGTTAGGAGGTTAAGGTTAGGCTTATACAAGATTAAACTGGCAGAGATATAAATGTAGATATTTCTCCTGACAAATTTTGCTACTTGACTTTGAGTCTAGCTAGAAGTTAGAATAAATGAAGTGATTTTGGCAGTAGGTCCTGGAACGATTTAATGATCCAAGGGTTATGTGAACTTCACGATTCCTTCCCTTGACCGCTGTTTCTTTCATAGCCCTGAGTCAGGCCAGGCAACTGTGTGAACTAGAATCCTGAGTTTCAAAGGACTCAAAAACAACCTTACAAAGAAACACCCAAACTTTTTTGGTATCCAGATGAGTGGCAATAGCTGAATGACAGTTCATTTTGGGTTGGGTTCATGTAAGAAATTACAAGTAAATTCTAGTGATATTCTGGTGTTAGATCAAGCATGTCTAGGCTGCTTACAACTTGAGGCAACTTCAGATAGCCTGTATTTTCTTTTGGATAGATGTTTAATAATTTGCTGACGGGTTATCTTCATAGTGCAGTGGTGAAATCACAGATACAGGAAGGAACACTTGCAAGATTAGGACCTTGGTAGGTCGAGCTGTATGACTGAAGGGCTTCCAGGCAACTGCCAAGTGACTATCAGTAAAAGGGTGTTCCTGATCCACGCCTCTTACATCAATGCCCCGTGGACGGGAGGGTCAGTTTGGAGGCTGACTAGTGTCTCTGCTTGTAACACATTCAAAAGTACAAAGCTTGTAGCAGCTTGACTTGATATCTGGTTGTTTTCCTTTGAATTGAGGAAAAAGTCTTTCATGGTCAAACACGCTTGTGGCCTCTTATGCACTAATAAAGCGTTCTTGTTCCATTTAATTGATCAGGGTATAAACCACTACCTCCCAAATATAAGAACAAGGATTGGCTAAGAGGAGAAAAGTGAGAAAATGTGCTTCTGTCCTTTCTTTTCAGATTTTTGGAAACTTGCAGATCTGCTATAGTTTAACAAGTTTAACCGCTGTAGTGATTGAGGGCTGAGAAATGTAAAACCTCTACAAACAGTAAGTGTTGAAAACTATGTAGTTTTGGATTCTGCCCTTTCATTCTGCCCTTTCTGCTGCAACTCTCGTAATTCTTGGGACTTCTTTTCAGACATTTCACAGAGAAGCAATTAATGTCATTCTTTGATGGGCTACTGTAACTAACAAACTACTTTTTCTATGCTAGCCTGGCAATTATTGTCAAATGCTTTGTTTGTGTGGAAAAAAACAACTACTAATGAGGGAGGGAGTTTACATTTTTATTGAAAGGCAAATGGTTTTTTCAGTCAAAATACTTGCAGTGGTGTGCCTTTTTAAACTTCTAATCTGATACCAGTGGCTTAACAAAATATGGTGACTTAGTAAATAAAATTGTAAATAAGCTTCAAAACTGAAATAGATATGCTTGTATGTGTAAATATGAGGATAGGAAATTGTGAAACATGGTCAGTGTTATGCTCGTTGTAGAATTGCTAATTCTGTTTGTCCATAACTTTAGTGTTTTTCTTAAATCAAAGATGGCTCCTTTTTTCAGTAAGTCTTGGCTGATAGCATATTAGGTTGTAAGTAAACATGATTACTTACATGATGGGAAGAAACTTGAGTTTGCTTTATGTTTAACAGCTTCAGTTAAAGGACAGTGTACTACATATCCTCAAGAAAACCTTTAGGTTTAGTCTTGGCTTTGTATAGCAGGTGGTTCATCAGTGACCACTGAATGATAGTGATAACTGAAACAAATTTCCTCGCCTGTTTCCCAGTTAGAAAGTAAATACAAGTGGAGAAGCAATTGTCTGGAAATTAGAAGTGTCCCTTGCATCTGTTTCTTCAAAAATCCTGAGGCAGTTCAGCAGTGCTATTACAATAGATCCAAGTTTTGATGCCCTATTAAGAAAAGGGGAATGGAGGTGGAATTTCAGTTGCTATGTGTGTTTTTTGTTTGGGTTTTTATTGATGTGCTGCAGTGGCTGGCATCAGTGTGGGACAAAATGAAACTGTAAATAGGTCCAATTGCCTTGGTTTGCTTAATAGTGTATGTAGGGTTTGCAGCTTGCTGACATTATAGATACAATGCAGTTACTGTGTTTGCTAGCACTGTTTTTCTGTAGAACTTGAGTTCAGCAACTGTGTTCAGCCTTCAGTGCACTGGTGTGAGCAGGGCCTTCTTAAGCTATGAAATTATTTTTATAGTAAAGAAGGACAAATTCTTGAGTTTATATGTTGCTGCTATGGCTTTCTAGACCCAAGAATCTTGTTTTTCTTTGAGTGCTGCCTCAGTACCTAAGCAAGAGAGGTATTTGTACTCAAAATAAAGACAGATATTAAGCTGACATATGGAAGTAAGACAATCTAGATGGATAGACTGGACAAGGCAGTGGTATTTCACTAAGCTTTGCAGGATTGGATTTTGTAATGCAAACTGATTTTTTTCTGAGGTTGCTTAGCTGTTTCTCTTTCGTTGTGACAACAGATATTTGGACTGATAGTGGAAATATTTGACTTGCAATTCATTTTACTGTTTAAAAGGGACATCTTGAAAGGCAACAATTAAATTTACTTTTTTTGTGTTACGGTATAGGATTATGTTATAAATTACATTTAGTAGAAAATGTTCCCTGCTTTTAACAGGAATATTGAAGTCAGTGATTTAAGCACTGTAATCCTTCTAAGTTAGGGGAAGCTATTCAGAAATGCTTATCAAAATGAACTAGAGGGGGGCTGCTTTTTATTTATTTGGTTTGAATATTAAAATGATTGAAGAATGTGAGGAAAAATTATTCTTGTTACAGCCTTTTTGTCTACTAGGTTGAGATTACTTTTACATTAACTAATTGTGTAGCTCACTAAGAAATAACTGGAACAAACAGTTATGTGTAATTATGTACGGTCTTGCAAGTCCTGATGCTGGGTAAAACAGTCAGATGGACATTAGGAATTAAGCTTTTGTTTTGTTTTCAGATGATGAATGATGATTGAAACTGAAAAATTTAAAGCAGTAAATCTTCAGAAACATCATATTGTATGTTAACCATCCCTTCCAAAAGCATTGTCAAAACGCACATTATACAGATAAGTTGTATAATAGGAGAAATAGCATTAATTCTTGTCGTGTCTTAACACTCCAACAAATAATACAATAATTAAGGCTTAATAACTTCAGAAAAAACAATTACAAATATTGAGCTCTTTAAAAATCTTAACTTATTTAAAGATGTGCAATCAGAAAAAAAAATGCAGCAGTCTGCTCTTTGGAAAAATACCACTCTGGAGCAGCAGATACTCTAAATCACATTATCAGTGTGGCTGCAGGTGAGTCCCTTATATAGTAATAAAATTGTAAATGTGTAAAGTCTTGGCTGCTTTCAGACAAAAATACTTGTTAGTACTTTTAAACAAGCTTCTTTGGTGCTTCAGATGCAGCTTGTGAGCATCTATTTAAATGACTGAGTGTATCTTCCATTATTTTGGATTAAAAACTTTACAAAAAATTAATTCACACCTAGCATGACAGCTATGGAATGTCCTGAAAAGCAACATTGCCTGCAACATCACAGAAGACTTTCTATAGCTTTTGTGTGAAAGGACCGGTTTGGTCCACTTTTAATAATTTCTGGTTGGTCTGTAATTGTCTACCCAGTAAGACTAATTTTATGGTCACCAGTCTCACAGACCTCACTGGAATGGCCCACATAGTTAAAATTGTGCAAATTAACTTTGCAGGTTCTAGATGCACAAAGTAGTAGATATTGTTAATACTTTCCTTACATGTATTTTGTTTAAAATGTGGCCTTGTGGACAATTTCATGATAATAACTGCCATTGATAAAAATGCAGACACTTTCTGGGAGCTTCTGATTTCTGCAGGACTGGAAAAATAAATTGTAACTTGTTCCCTGCACTGGTAGGGAAGAACAGGAGAACATTCAGTACCCTCTGTTCCCACGAAAGCATTATTTATTAAGGAGCAGCTCCTATCTATTGATGTAGAAACTGGAGACGTAAATAAATACACTGGACCATTTTCAAAAGTTAAGCATAAACCTGCAACTCTTATGCAAGTAGTCCAGTGACTAATAAGGCTTTTCACATTCACCAAAATGCATGTGTTCATAACCTGAGCCATAGCCATTATCTGTAGCTCTCTGAAAGGCAAATGAACTATCTTCTTGTAGCTTCTAAGTACTTTCATTATCATAGAAACCTGTACAGAATTAAGGTTTTATAAACATTGTTGTTAATTATGCAGTATGAATGAATTAAATTACTTGCTCTGAACCAATTTTTAATGGAAGCAGTCAGTTTCTTGTATTTTGACTTTTTTTGTGTTGAGGCTTCCAACTACTCCTTCTGTCTTACTGTAGATTGTGTCTGGCCAAATAAATATTCAAAGATGGAAAGTCACTGATAAAAAAATTCCTGAAATTTCTTGCTTCTACTGTAGGCCGTGATTGTAAGGCAGCACAGAGTCATATGACTCTCACGCCAGCTTGTATCAGGTACTAATTCTACAGCCACACTGTGGGTGATGTATATGCCAGTAATGCTAATTACAACTAGCAAGACCACATTCCTTCCCTCAAAGAAAGAGAGGGACTAGGCAACTTCTGACCCATTTCCATTTTAAATAGATGCAATTTTCAGAGAAGTCTGTTTGGGCTGAAACCCAAACTATTAGGCAGGTTTAGGAACACAGTTCTTCTCATACAGGACTTCAGTTTGGGCTTGTTAAAATGAAACTTTACCCCCAAGCAATTAAAACACCGTTTTTACAGTATTAGATGACACTACAGTTGTAGAGAGCAAAGGTTGGGTACAGAGCACTAATGAGCAATCAATCTACTTAAGTGCTAAAGGATTTTTTTTAAAATTTCTTTTTAAGTCTAACAGTTAAAAAGACTTCTTTGGTGTCACTAATTTGCCATCCCCATGCTGGCAGCCAGACTGTTCACTAGAGCTTCCAGAATTTTTGGGCAGTTTTACTATAACAGTTGACACCTCCTAATTGAACTGTCATTGGAGGCTTGGGCTTGCTATATGGCATTTTGAGCACCATTGAAGTAGCAACAGCAAATTTTCTTTTGTAGTACTTTTAGTAGTATTCCATTCAATGCTGTTCTGCAAGGAGTAAACTGTAAACTACTGAATGCTCGTCTAAATAAAATTGCAGCATTTGCATTTGTTCCATAGATAACTGTGTTCCTAGTGCATTAGTTTAAAAAATAACTTTGGTAATAAAATACAGCATTGAAGTGGCTAGTTCAAGACACATGCTCTATAAAATTCTCACTCCTCTTTTTTCTATGAACCTTCTACAGTGAGTGTAAGTGAATTATAGCGCTTGTTGAATGTGATGTGATCCCCTTTCAGCACAAAGGCAGGGGGTGGCTTGAAAGGTTTGGGGGTTTTAAAGAGTTTTAAGTGACAGACCAGTAATTTATGCAGCATACTGCTTAGGTCCAGACTGCAGTCTGTGGAAGAGACACCTCTTAAATTTGGTCTTCTTGAGTGGGTATTCTTACTGGAGTGTATCTATAGTTCACCTGTTTAGTGGAGCCCTGTTTTTGTACATGAGACTTGATGTTGGTGGAATTCAAAACACATTCTAGATATTTGTGTGCAATATTTGCTGCTCACAACTATTTTTCTTTTTAATGATTTTCTTATTCTTTACAGGTCTAGGAAACCAGGAGAATCTTTTCCTGTAACAATGGCAGCAAAATCATCACTCCTTAAAGTTATACTGCTAGGAGATGGAGGAGTTGGGAAGAGTTCCCTTATGAACAGATATGTCACCAACAAGTTTGATGCACAGCTATTTCATACAATAGGTGTGGAATTCTTAAATAAAGAGTTGGAAGTCGATGGACATTTTGTTACAATGCAGATATGGGACACAGCAGGTCAGGAACGGTTTAGGAGCTTGCGGACTCCTTTCTATAGAGGTTCAGACTGTTGCCTGCTAACCTTCAGTGTGGATGACTCTCAAAGCTTCCAAAACTTAAGCAACTGGAAGAAAGAATTCATTTATTATGCAGATGTCAAGGAGCCTGAAAGTTTTCCATTTGTGATACTGGGTAACAAAGTTGATATCGATGAAAGGCAAGTGTCTACAGAAGAAGCCCAAGACTGGTGCAGGAATAATGGCAACCATCCCTATTTTGAAACCAGTGCAAAAGACGCCACTAATGTTGCAGCAGCCTTTGAAGAAGCTGTTAGAAGAGTTCTAGCCTCTGAAGATAGATCAGATCACTTTCTTCAAACAGATACAGTAAACCTTCACCGGAAACCGAAACCGAGTTCATCTTGTTGTTGACTTAAATTTCTTTTTGCCAAATTACTGTTGACTAGCTTGCCCTATAAAAGAAGGGGGAAGGTGTAGTAGATAGAGTAACAAATGGATTTCATTCTAATATTAAAATCGTAATATTCTGCTGCTTTCATGAAGGAGAAAAAGAAAAATCTCCATTCATGAGTGACCTATTATTGAATAAGTGATGCTTTCTGTTTAGGAAGACATCAAGTAAAAAAATAATATAGGAATGTAATTTGCCAACTTTATTCAAATGATGAATACTTTGAATATAATTAAAACTTGAAAGTTCTAGAAGCACTACTTTGGAGAAGCTGTTCTGGAATTCAGGCACAAAGATACTTTTATATGTGTATATTTTTATGAAATCGGCATTCCACTTTTCTTTCGTTAGATGTCAGTTTCTTAACTATGCTAGATATTAAACTTCAGTCTCACTACATTCCTTTTGCTGTGAGTGGTATTTCATCTCTAATATGGTTATTGTAAATTAATATAAATTATGTCCAAGTCTTCTAATTGCCTAATGTTGCTGTAATTTGTGTAGGTTTATAAGTAGGAAATAAATTTCCTACGTATTTAATGTCCATTTTTTCCCATCTACTATTCTAATGCTGCACTAATTTTTCCAATGGTTTAATGCAAAATACTGATCATTTTAAAAATTGTGTGTCCTTGCCTTAAGTCCATTCTAGCATGTTTCTAAACAATAAGGTGAAACTGGGTAACTGAAGTATAACCTTTTTTTAAAAAGAAATGCTTTATTCATTCAGCTTTAATAGCACTTGAAAGAACTCACATTGTGACAGTTTCTTAGGAAAATTCCTCGTGTACAGCCTTAGAAGTTCCAAACTTCTTGTTCCTGTTAACCTGAGCTATGAATGTGTTTACCAGTAATATCTGCACTGTGATATTAAGGATTGGCAATATGTAGAGAACTCAGGAAACTCTTACAGTAGATTATGACAGCTTTCAGCCCTAATACAGATATATAACTATAGATAGTGTTTGAGCTGAATTTGATCCTTACTAAAATTGCTATTTTAGGATATGAACTTGTACATTTAAGAGATAATGTCTTTTATATTACTGAATTAATTTGATAATGATGAACAGGAGCAAATTCTGTGTTTATTGGACAGTCTTTTTTGCAGTCAGGCAGACAAAACTACAGGTGTTTTTGAGGCTTTCAGGTGCAGTTTAAGTGGTAGAATACTTGTATGAGAAATTGTTCAATATTGACTCTGAGTAACGGCTGTCCTTGCAATAGCAAAATTGCTAGTGCACTATTGCTTCCATCTGTAATCTGACTGCTAACAGGCATACATGTGCACATATGGTCTGAGAAAGGAAGTCTGAGGCTGCAGGACAGGCCGTGTTATTCATTAAACAACTGCTTTCTGTACAGCAACTACTTTGTTTCAATGGAAAAGCCTTTCTTGAGAGTACATTACCAGCAAGCATTTTATCTTAAAAGTATCTGATCAATCTGTACCTGGTGTAATTATTTGGAAGTAAAGCTTGCAAAAACAAACCCTTCTTGTTGCTCTTAGTACATTTCTCTGAATGTATTTTATCCCTGCTTCAACCTGTCCAGGACAACTTTACTCTGCAGATCTGCTACTCCTGTTCAAAAGTGCCATCTTTTTACCTTTTGTGCATTCCTAAGTCTGATTCATTCTGGCAGTCCTGCATCTACACCAACAGAACTGTGTTGTAAGCTTCAGTCCCTGAGCAGTTACATAGAGGTTGAATTGCTACTTTTGTTTAATTTCTAGTCAATGAATGAAAAGATCTGTGAGGAAAATCTTAGCTAAATCCCTCTTAATCTTAAGATGAAAGAGCAAAAAGCTTTAGAAATGAAGATTGCTTGTGCTACTAACCTAGTGACATGAAATTGTTGTAAAACTACTATTTAACTACTTAAAGCTTCCTTTAACATTCATTTTAGCAGAGATTAAGGTTGAAACAAAACAGGAGCTGAAGATACTGTGACTAGAGTACTATAGATAAAAAGGAAAGAATGACAGACGAGAACCGCTGTGGTCTTTCTTGTGCCCAGGCATCTGTGTTTTGCCATCTGTCCCCTTTCCATTTAATATCATGGTTATGAAGGCTCCATTTGAGAAGTAGGTTTAATAAAGTTAAAACATAATCCCATAGAAGTGCTGAATGTTGTGTTAGAGAGCAGAATGGAAAGGGGCAGAAGAATCTACCTAGGGCAGCTCATGTCATGGCAAACTATCTATGCTTACATAAGCTGCTTTAACAGCTGCTCCATACCTCAAATGGATCTTACTTTAAGTCACCTGGCAGGTTACCTAAACAGTAATAGAATCTTGTAGAAAGTGGAGTCTGAGTTGCATTTCCAGCCCCGATTTACCAAGGTTGATTGATGTTAGCTTGAGCTAATGTTCTCATCTCCTTATGCTTGATTTTTTTAATGACTTAGGGTAATTCTAGTCCCTTTAACTCATAAACTTTTTATTACCTTTACTGTATAATGCAGATTATCTGTTTTCTTGTACTGCAACAGACTTTTTTTTTAATTCCTAAGCCCCTGAGAGGATAGGAACATAATACAAAGGAGGTGTCTCTTCAGCAAGAAACTGTTCACTGAAGTATGCTGGAATTGCAGCCTTCAGATCTAGATCAAATTTGTAACTTTAGTTGACCACGAGATAATTTTCACCCATCACTTCAGCTTGTGGTCTTTCAGCTGACTGTGAAGAGTCACAAACTAAAACATAAACAAGTGTTTGTCCATGTGCAGGGAACTTGGAGCTACCTCACCAAGGCCTTCAGAGTTCTGTCACAAGACAGTGCTCCTGAACCACAAACTCTCTGACAAAGGTGATGAGTTAGGCCATAATTTTCCTGTTCCTGTGGCCAGTAACAGTCTGTTTTGATAAAGCCTATGCAGACCTGAATCTGCACTTCCCATCTACACTTCCTACATTCAGAGGAAAGAGGGAAAGCTGTAGGGGAGGCATAAGAACAGGCATCATTTGGCTAATTGCCTTCAGAAATCAGGCAAGAGAGAAAATGTTTTCATTTTACTTAATGTAAAATTAGTAAATTTTAAATTTGTAATGTAAAAATGCTGCTCCTACTGCAGCAGCAAATGCAGTTATAAAAAATGTAGCTTCTAAAAGTGGTAGTAGTGTTAGCACGAATCCTTTGTATTTGCCAAGCATTTTCTTCCCGCTAAGTATGTAATTATTTCCTCAGTGAATCTTAACTGTTAATATTTTATCAGTCATCATGCTACAGGGGAGGAGGTAGAAAATAACTGCAGCTCAGTGGCTCCTTATCACATCATCAAGAATGCTTTACCCTCAAGTGTGTTTCTGTTATTTCCATGTATACAGGAAAAAAAAAGTTGATTTATATACAATTACATGACATTATCAAAGTGCTGTACACTGGAGTTTGTATACATTGCAAAGACAAGTATTCCCATCTTCATTGGCCACCCCATCAGGTACAGTTACTGTGGTTATCTAGTTTTCTTCTAAATCACTTCAAGTATATTTAACAGGCATCCATACCACATCATTCCCTGTTTTATTTAAGGTAAATATTGCAAATTCTTTATCACGTTCTTTTTTGTCATGGAACATTTTACAGTGATAGCTTTGCAGTAAATGCAGAAATAATGACTGACTATACATTTATAGCACATATACATGTGGTTCCCTTAATTATACAGACCATGCAAAATACTTCTTAGAACAGCATGCCACTTCCTTTGGAAATTACTTTTCAGTCATGTAAAAAAAAAAGTACAAGAAGATAGCTTATACAGATTTGCTGCAAAAAGAAACAGAGTACTTAAGACTCTAAACCCAAGCAAAGTATTAGGTACATGTATGCCAAATGATCTATCTAAAAATTACTGTTTTGGAATGATGTTAAGTTTTGCGAAATGGTCCCTAAAACATTTTACAATGGAGTAGGAGACAGACAGGCCAAATAATGCCTTTCTGAAACCTCAACAAATATAGTTTCATGGTTCAAAAATCCTCCTCTAAGTTTATTTACAAAAAGAAAGTTTCAGCAGTTGCAGAAATAATGTGAAGAAACCGTGGGTTCAAACATGTAAGTTTAGTTTGGGGTTTTTTCATGTGTGAATTAGAATTAATGTCAGGGCAGATCTAGCTGTTCTGGTCTACTTCATTCATTGATGCAATACTGCAGCTAAATGTGTATTGCACTAAAATTTGAAATAACACACTTTTAAACTTTAGGGGTTTTCCTCAAAATTTCTTCAAGTACTGGAGACAGCTTTACTGATCTATCCATTTTTTATTGAGCAATTTATATACATACAATTACATATTAATAAATAGAGGCTTGATTTACTACCATAAAGTGTAATAGTCGGGTTACTCTGCAGATTGAGTCCTCTACTGAATGAATACAAGTAGGAAAGTCTGTAATAAAATTACACACTTAGGCCAAACAGTCAAGAATTCTCTTTTGCTCATATTAAACCAGATGACTGGCAACATCTTTTGCATTTAGGTCTGATTTCCTCCCACCATGTGTCAGAGGCTTACAATTTGCATATGCATTAACACATAATGTCTCAGTTTCTTCTTTTGTACCTCTGCAGCCTCTGACAGTTAAAGACTTTGTACCACATAAAAGGAAACTTCTTGAGATAACATATTTTTAACCAGAGAAGCTTGGTGTTCTTATCTATATCTGCAAAAGAAAAAGCTGCTTCAGCATCCAATTAGGCAGTCTTCAGAAGATGAATATAAAATATGCAGAGGATTAACCAGACGAAGAACAGTTCAAACAATCAGGAAAGTAGGGAAAAAGCACTCACTCAGGAAATTTATTTATTCAGCTTAAAAGGTGTTTCTTCCCAAGGAACTGGACTTTCCTTTCAAAGGCAGTGGATCGAATAGGAGTATTGAGTTCATAAAATGGATTCATTGCAAACTGGGGAAAGAAGAAAAACCCATCAGTAAACACAATGCCCAGCCCTGGAAAATGTCACTTCAGGTGACATCTACTACTAGCTTTCAGCCTATTTAGTGCCACTAAGAGCACAGACCTCCTAAATAGTCCTTGATTTCCAGGCCCTTGCATTCTCCCATACATGTGCAGAGCCATCCCCCAGCACCAGCTCCTCAGAACAAACCCATGACACCGGTGGAAATTAGCATCATTTGAGTGCCCATGGGAGGCTGAGATGGTGATGCTTCCCGTGACTATTTGCCATGACCCCATCTAGTGGAAGTACCACCAGGATTTGAGAACAAGGGCTGTCTGTTCTGAGAGCAAAGCTACTGAGCTCTGTAGAACAGTCCTTTCATTATCATCATAATGACACCATACTGCCAAAAAATGATTCACAAGAAGTTGACCCACAAGTTCTCTGTTGCCCAGAGAAGCTGTTGATGCTTCACCCCTGGAGTTGTTCAAGGCCAGGTTGGATGGGGCTTTGACCAGTCCGGTCTAGTGGAAGGTGTCCCTGCCCATGTCAGGGATGTTGTAACTAGATGGATTTTAAGGTCTCTTCCTACCCAAACCACTCTTATGTATTCTACAAAAAACCACTGGACTAAAGTAAAGGTGTATAAAAGAGCACAGTTTATAACAATTTTTAAAAAATCTATTCTGTTTAATGGAAAATACAGCCTTTGTATTGCACGTTACCAGCTCTGGCTCATTTGGACTGCACGGGTGCATATACAGGCCCCCAACAGAAAACATGCTAACACAGCTGTGTCTGAGCACAAAGAGCAGAACACACTTAAACGTAGTGCAGCAAGACCATAAAAAATGAGTTCTTACCTTTATATACAACTCATATACGTCAGTAAAGAAGTTCTTAATTCCATCTTCTTGCCTTACATCATGAAGCATTATAAATCTCATATGTACAGTAATTAAGGAGAATAAAACTTTTACAAAGAAAAGAGACATTATCCTGAGATAAGCATTTACATCTAATTCAACATACACCTAAAATATTTTAACTGTACGTGAAACAGCAGTGACTCATAGGAGGAAGGATTTAAAGAAGTAATTGAAGCAATGAAATTTGGAAAGGACTACCTTTATATTGTAACATCCCCCTATCATCTCTATCCATGGTTGTTCTTTTTAAACCTATGTAATTCTGAATGTGGATGATGCTCTCTCCACCTCTGCCAGGTACCCCTAAAGTTAAAATGCCACTCAATGTTACTTGCTATGTGTAACAAATGTTTCACAACAAACAGTTCTAGGACTATCTGTACATAATATCAAAGCTTGGCACTGCATTTTCCCCATTGGAGTGACAACAGGCATGTCACTGCCACTTCTCCTCTCCAGCACGGTCAAAGGGGTGGGAACAGAGAATCATACAAGCTTGCTCAGAGCCTCTCATACCTCTTTATTCCATGTAAGTACCACATTTCATTATGCTATTTTGGCTCCTACAGATGTAGAAATCCATCTTTCCAACTGTTCCCAGCTACTGTGCCTCCCAGCATAGTTCTTGAAGCTGATGATTCTAACAATAGTGAATAG